ATAAGAACTAAAAAAATGGCACGGAACCTAAAAGATATGACTAGAAAATTATATCTAGTTATTATAAATATAAGCTTATTCATGGTTATTAGTGGTTGAGCAGGACTTAAAAAGTTCAATCAAAAGTTTTCAAAAACTTGGCATCATTATGTGCAGATAATACTTTAGCAGATCTGTAGTCTTCATTAAAAATCTAGATAGTCTGCAAGATATATAAAAAAACTTGTTAACACCATGTAATTAGTAATGAAAGAAACGCTTACAAACCTAAAGCGCCATGGTGTTATCTCAAACAACAGTTGGTAACTAGTTAAGGAAGGGAACATTACCATGTTATTTCCTACTTTAAATTGCGCATAAAGCATTGAGGTGTTGTTACTAACAGGAACTTTCCTTGTTGGGGCACTTAAACACTACAAATCTGATAATGCTCATAAGAAACTTGGGGCATTCAAAGTGTTTAACTCTCTAGCGATTAAGGGAACGTTCAACATAGCCTACTTATCCTAATCTCTCTGATAAATTTAATCTTTGAATGATTTAAAGCGAGCTTTGGATGAATTATTTAAATGTATATTTGTCAATTGATGACCAAAAATTATGTTTGAGATTAATTTATGGACTAATTTGAAGAACGGGAAACGTCCAAAATAATCGAATCTGATAAACTTTGAATTAGCCGATTTTTTATTTTTTTATTTTTCATTCATCCTTTTTTAGGTATTGATCACTCAATTTTCAACTACTGAAAATTAGTACGTTACAAGATTAAGAAAAATACAAAAAAAACAAAACAAGATGCACAATAAAAATAAGACAGCAAATTATTCTTTCAAGTGAAAATTCATATTAGGTACACATAAAATTTTCTTCCTCTTACATGAGAGGTTAAAGTCAAAGGCCTATTTCAACAAGTTTTTATTTTATACATTTCGGTCTAATTTTTTTTAAACAGAAATTCGGTTTGTACCACTTGAATCTTCAATAGAGCCCTATGATGATTTTCATGTGGATCGATGAAGTCGTCTTGAAGTTATCACTGTATTTATGGATTTTCGAATAAAGGTCCAATCTAGGAAAATTGTGTATACATTTTTTTTTTCGATTGATACAAAAATTCGTATTCAGTGGTTATCCGAATAGTAAAAAACGAATATCAAATTTTTTCCAATAAAAAAAAAATATTAAACTCCAGTTTATTAGTTTTATCCGGTTCACTTCAGTTGGTCCGATTTGTATTAACATTGCACTTAAATTAGCTATCTGCCAAATATAATATTTTTTTTTTCTTAAAACCGGCCGGTTATCTAGAGTAAGATTTAATACAATAACTTCATGATATTCTTCCGATTCTGGTTAGGAGAATAGAAGAAAATGAGCTTTATTACCTAATGGTTACGTGAGAAAATGAATTTTAAAACTAATTGAAAAGCTGAATTTCATTCTTAAGTTCTGTTTTTGTGCATCTAATTATTTATTTCTGAATATGATTTAAAATAAAAAAATTGAGACTCAGAAAGGAACTCTAATATCAACTTAATTCACGTATAATTTTCAAAATCTCTTACTCAATATTGAGGTATTTTAGAGGTGCCCTCCCAAAAAAAAAAATCAAGAATAATCGCTCGAACAATGGCACGATTGGGGGTAAAAAGTTAAGGCTCCCAAAAAGTCTCTTCTCTGACCCAAACTCAACTTAAATGGGATATTCTAATCCTCTTTCGTTATTTGATAGCGTTTTGGAATGCCGATTTCTTGTTAGAATTTACCAAAAGTTTAATGATTTTATTGCCTACATAGAATTTTAGCTCATTTTACCAAAAGGAAGTTCTGGAAGTTCAGAAATGTAACCAAACGAAATATAGCAACCATGATCGTGTTATACGGGCTCAATAACAGATATAAAATATCATCCCCAAATTCGCTCCAATGGCCCTCGATATACTGTAAAACTGTGCGATTTTCCGAAAAATAAAATAAACAAACTAATATTAAAGTCATTCCTATTCTATGAATACTTAATGAATTTCCATTCCATCACCACCAATCATAGGTATAATACATATCAAAACTTCTTGGAATTTAAACACATGAGAGCACAATTCAAGGAATCTAATAGTGATGGCATATTTTAACCGATGATGAAGTGATTAATTTGATATTAAATGATTAAATTTAATTTAATTTACTAGTATTTCAATATTTAATAAATTTATTTTATTCAATTACTATTATTGAGTATTAGCCTTTGATTGGTAGTTAATATTCACATGCCATATCATATACATTTAAAAAAATACATATTTATTAAAATTTAACACGGTATCAACACAACTTACAACAAGTAAATGTGAATAGCTTTTATGACATGGACAGACTTGAAGTCCAACTACCTATTGCTAGCACTCCAATTGTATTTATATACTAAAATGTCCCGAAGCCATCTTCTTTTCAGACGCCAAGAAGGATTGTAAAGAATCGAAGAGGGTACAAGGGCAGTAACTAGGTTTGGATGGGCCTAAACTTTATTATGGAAGGATAGGTATCTGGATTTGGCTTTCAGTAACATTGACATGCATAACATGAAGATCGTTTTGGATAATTTTATTTGTGACAAAGTGAGGAGCATTGAGGATTTTGTCATAAAATAAGAATGAAAATGAAAGATTTTTTTTTATGTCTCCTTAAAATAAAAAGTGTAATTGCATATTGTATTTGCAATCTATCATTATAAAATTATAATCATAAAATAATTTCTTCAATTGCATATCAATTACACACATAGATAATCACTTATAAAATTTTGTTTACATGGGTGCTGTTGATGGTGAACGAGATATAAGTGAACCAAATAAATAAGATTAAATAAAACATTTTTCGAGATGATCTCAGATCAAAATTTTCCTTTTTTTTGGGCTAGAGATAACCACACCTAAATGGAATCGCCATTTTCACCGAAAATTTGTTTAACGCGCTCGGCCCCAGGGGGCGACGGGGTCAATCATCAAAGTAATTAGTGCGTAATCGTTTTAACGGCCTATACTCGACCCTTACACACGTTTTCTGACCATCTTAAACCTCTTCGGCAAACTTGGAGTCAGAATTTTTATAATATTTTTATTTTTTGAATTCAAATTTTCGCTAGCAATCGATTTTATTAAATACAAAAATTTAAGGAACTAAATAAAAATTAAAAATATGCTGAGCTTATATTTTATTTAACCCACTTTTTCTATATATATCTAATACAGTAAATGTAATGAGATATTCTGTTTTTTTTTTAAATTTTATTTTATTGAAATTTACAACTGTATTACATGGAAAATACAATAAGTAAATGTGATATTGGTAACATGACATGTACAACATGAAGAGAAACTACCCATTGGTAGAACTCAAATTAAAGGATAGATATCTGGATTTGGCCAAATCGGAAACATATGGAACATTAAGATCTTCATCGATGATTTTACTTGTGACTAAGTAAGGAGCTTTGAGGATTTTACGAAGGATTAGGAATTCGATGGTTTAGTGGAGCCCCAAAGCTCAATTTTGTAAGTCCAAAAAGGTCTTATTATTGTCATATATATGAGTCGTTTGTAATTGATTGTTAGCTTAGAGCGTTTGTCTAGTACGTGCTGCAGGAGTCGAAAACGTCGGGCGGTTTCTAGTCGTTTCAGTCTGGTATGGGGGATATTTTGAATTTTAGCTTTTAAAATTTTCAAATATTTCGAACAGATAATGACATGAATTTAAAAATAAATAAATATTAAACAACTCCCTGAGGTTTTGATAACGCAAACAAAATAACTGAAAGGCAAACGTAACAAAAAAGTTGCGAGAGATGGTAAAATTAGATTCCGAATAACTCAAAAAGTGTACAAGTTTTTGTAGATATTGTATTATGGTTATATAAGAGTTTGCGGAATTTCTCTCCCCCCCCAAAAAAAAAATCGTTAAAATCGGACAATTAGGAGCAAATATATGGTTTCTAAATGTTTTTATGTTCTAATGCAAAGGTCATATGCTATTTTTTTTTTAAGCATATTGCCAACGATAAAAAAAAATGTTTAGTCAAATAATTGGAATCCCCTTTTATTTCTTTTTCGTTGTCACTAGGAAGGTAATGTTACTTTAGATGTATAATTGTTTGGAAATAATAAACCATTCTGAAATAATTTTCAGAGTTTTTTTTTTATATATGATTTATTTGTTCATATTTTCCAGCTACAAGTTTACAATCGCTTTGTACCTGTACTCATGTATAATACATTTTTATAAAAATTAAGTAATTTACAATTATAACATATTACATTTTTTGGTAAAATATAAACGCTATGGAAAACAAAATCGATACTATTGTTAAATTTTTACTGATTCATATTATAATATATTTTTGGCAGCAATAAAATATTTACTTTTATATTTTTAATTCTTCACAGACTTTTTAACTTTTTGAAATTTGACTATATTTCTCAAACATACATTTTTTAATCTTTTAGTTCTATTTTTCTACAATTGTTGTTAAATAAGCTTTTTGTTGTTTTCTTATATTTTCTCCTGGCCTGAACGTTAGCACAAAATAATATAATTTTTTTTATTTTACAATTTTTAACTCTTTATTTCTTTCGACTTTGTATCTATTGAAAATGATGGTTCGCCATAAAAAAGGTTCGAATACATTATCGTTTTATGGAGTTTATCAGAGGCAATGGTTTGTGACATACGATGAATGATTGAAGTAATTAATAATTTTACTCGAACAATTTAAAGGGAGAAAAGATTAAAATTTTCGGTAAGAGGATGACATTTGTTAGCCCTTTCATTTTTATTAAATTACTCCGTGGGAGGGCACAGGGTCCTACAGTCGCTTACACAAATTTACCGTGACGCTAATTCTACGAGGACGTGGTCTGTTTTCGTAATGGCGGCTCATCCCCTAAAGAGATCATTAAATCGTTGGGAGGCTGAGAGATAGGGCAGAGGGGGTTCCTCAGGGCTCACCGCTGCGTCCCAACTTCTCTACACGGTTCACTGGCCATTCCACCTCCCCACTTCCACTTCCCTATTAATTTGCTATCCCTTTGAGTATTCAAATTCTCATACTGAACACAAATTAAATTCGCTAAGTTTCACCTAACAGAGGTCTAGGAAGGGAATTAAGTGTCGAGGAATTGACCCGTAATTATAGAGTGGAATAAACAGACAAATTGGATGTCAGATAATATTAAAGCTCGTTATTATTATTAGTATATATATATATATATATATATTTTTTTTTTTTTAAATATTTATTCAGAAATATAACTCACAATATATAACAGAAATAAACTAAAAAACTAACTCTCCATAAAGTTTTACTTAAACCAATTTGGACTTATGGCAAAGAACTGTGGGGTTCTGCTAAAACTTTCAATATTAAAACTATTTTATGTCGCCAATGATAGATTACACAAAGACTTGAAAATCCCAACAAGTTTAGAAACTGTTTTTCTATTTTATTTCTATTTTTATTGTTTAGGCAATCTGAAAACACTATGACACCGTTTATTATCCGCCAGATTACTATAAATTCTCATTTTACATTACATAAATTTATTTTATATTTTACTCAATTTTTTTTTTTTTTAATTTAAGCATTCTTAATTTTTTTAATAAGTAGTCGTGTATGTATAGGATGTAATAACACTCAATGTACAAACAGGTTTTTGTTTGTTTTAAATAATAATTAAAGGTAGCATATAAAATATTTTTATAAAATATAATCGAGATTTTTCGAGTAAAGGAATTTAATATATTTTTATATCAATATAAAAAAAAATGTAATTTTCTATTTGATTACACAATAGGCCATTAATTAATTGATATTAAAAAATTTATCGTCAAAAATAATTTAATTAATATGACCAAAAAATTAATTATTAAAAATTTAATTAATATTTAATTTTGGTTTTCTTCGTGATTACATTAAATATAAGTGGTTGCTGTGATTGAATACAGTAGTGGAGGAGGATGCACAATGGACGCTGATTGAACACATTCAACTGTCGTAGCACTAAAGCCTTTGGGGACGACAATTAACTGTTAAACCAATTATCAGATAACTAATCTCTCGCCTGCGTGCACTAACACAATTGCAACTTAAATTGTTCTGATTGTCTCATTGTGGCGGCTACGTGCAATTGTCGATTAAGGAACCACATTGTTGGCAATTGGCTCCCTACCTGCTTGAGCCGCCTATTTTCATGATTATTTAAACAATTACACGTTCCGTACTAACAGATTAAGATTATCTTCATTTTCTTATTATACGTAATTGAACTTTCTAATTAACAAATAAAACGATTTTTTTACTTTCCTACTTATACTAGGTACGGAAAGTAATGCGATCGGATCTAATTTCCGATATGCGGTTTTCGACGGATCTATACGTTTCAGAGCCCCCTGAGTCCGAAAAACACATTTTAAGCAATTAGTCTGCCTGCCTGTGCCAAGATTTTCTCGGGAACTGGTAAACCGATTTTGTAGCTTCTTTTTTTTTTATTTTGTAGTGTTTTGACTACTGATGCCCACAACAAAAAACGAACTACATGAAAACAAAAACAAATCCCTTGCTTACATTATGCAGCTCATGATTGCAGGAATACGGTATTTCAAGAACTAATACAACCATATCTCACTCGATTAATGTCCATGATGTAGACAGTTCTATGAATAAAGTACTGTCAATAATATATTCTCATAAAATTTTCAAAAAACAATAATTTTAAACAATATAAAAGATAATCTTTGTTTCCATATTGCAAGTTCATGATAAAGAGTTGTTGGATGAGGAACGTTGGTACATTTGGGACACTACTACATGTAGGGTCAGGGGAAAACTAATTATCCGCCTTCCCAAGTAGCATTAGTTCTGATCCAGCGTAAACTGAGAAACTTTATCGGTACCGATCCTCCTCGGAACAAGAAATATGACCCGTCCCAGAAGAATCAGGACTTGACTCCCGGAGGATTCGAGAAGTTGGCTCTTCTCAAGTGGACTTTAAACGAACTTTGCCTCCCCTCCACTTTCCCATTAGTTTATGCTCCCAACTCCTTCAAGTGGCTCGCTCCCAACGCCAGGTCAACCTCTCATCGAGTCGGTACCTGCTCAGCATTTGGTTTCGCCGAAAACCGTTCCTCTGTGATGATGATATGTTCAATGAGATATTTGGAGAAAATTCAATTCGAAAAAATATTAAAAAAAACTTAATCTGTACCAATACAAACCCCATTAGAGGGGGGAGGAGTGGGCAGGGTCCTGTACCTTGTAAAGAAGTAATGTTTCAAGGCCAACGGTTATGCAAGGATTAGCCAAGATCAAACTCAAACGAGAAAAAATACTATTGGCCAAAATGGTTTATTTCTTAATAGCAATTATAAACAATAAAATGTCTTGGTGGCCTATAATTAAAAAAATGTAAAAGCTTTCAATTAAAATATAAATATTTATTAAATAAACGTAATACTTGAGTTCAATATAAAAATATAAAGAGGGATAAAAAACAAGAAAGGACATGAAATTTCAATCATTAATGAAATTCTAATAAGGAATTCATAACGTTAGTATTTTTTTTTTATTCGAAATGAAAATACCGAGAAATCTTCCTTATGTACTAAATGCTTACATTAATTTCAAAAATTAAATTAATATGTATTAATAGATACGGTATTAAAAGTTGATGGTGTGTTTGAAGAAAATAGATAATAATAAAAAAATACAATCAGATTTTATTTTTCCAGTAACCAATAGGAGTAGATGCAAACATCGAATAAATAAAAAAAAATACACGGATACATACAATATGTTATAATACATTAGAAAAGGGTGTAAGGAATATATTTAAAATATTGATACCAAAATGATAGATTATTTCTTTTAAAATACCTTTATATTTTTTAATGTCTGATATTGTTATTAATGAATTATTAAAGTTATTATTTTGTAGATAAATGACATAGAATGAACATCTAATTAGACATAATTTGTGCATTGACTCAAATGCGTTTTATATAACTTTTTATTTATTTATTCAGAAATATAATAATCTGTCTCACGAACAATAATTATAATCAGATATGAACCATATTTTTGTATAACTTTTAAATTGTGAAATATTTGTAAGTATAGTTCTCTTGTAATTATTCGAGTCAAAACTTATTACAGAAATGAAAATGTCGTTAAGGACCATCAGTCACCAACCTGAAGTGTCACTGACGGCTACATCAAATATATATTTGTCAAGGTTTGTGGTAAGGAAACGTTTAACTGAGTACCTAATAAATAACATAGATGGTAATAACGAATTCTAATCCGAAAATATTAACATAAAATATATCTTACTGGTATGAAAAGAAATAAATCATAAGCACACAAGTTGTAGTGGTACAGGTTTTATTTTTTTTATAATAAGGAAACATAAACCTTCTGAGGGCCACCTAAAAAATGAAATTTGTAATGATATAGATAGTTTAGCAAATAATAGTGGAGTTCAACCTAGCAAACGGAAAAATATATATTTTTTAGTATAATTTGAATTTTATATACCATGTTCCTACCCGTGAAAAAAAACAAATAAAATAAAAATAGTTTCAGGAAAGTGATGGAAACATTACTAGTTCCATAAGATATATAAAAAGAAAAATAATTAAAAAGGAGTAATTATTAAGGCAATACAAAAAAATAACGCTCAGATATTTAACTTTTTGAATCTTTTTTAAGTCTATATATCCCGCCCTCCTTATTAATTGTTTTTAATTATGATCAAACAAGGAATTATAAGTAGATGCAAATACATATACAACATGAAATTGAATAATACAGATATATTAAATATTAAACATTTAGATTAAGTAAATTTAATTTATTCTGATAATCAATGCTGCTGATTTAGCACGAGCCAGATACCTATCCTTTCATGATAAACTCCAGTCACATCCGAATCCACTTGTTTCCAGCCTCAATTCTTCCTCGATTCCTGATAATCCTCCTAGGTGTCTGAAAAGAAGATGACCTCATGATCTTCTCATCCAGAATTATATAGGGAGTGCTATCACTGGGCAGTCAGTATCTCTTCAAGTCTTGTTCATTTCATTATTTGTAATGTGTGCGCATTTTTACTAGTTGTATTGTTTATACAGTTGCAAATTTCATTAAATAAATAAGAATGAATTCTGATAATCTAAATAATAAATAATAAACCAGAATTGGTAAAAAAAAAAAATTCAAATAAAAATTAAGGCAAAATAGTAACTAATACTTGACAATCTTAGTTACTATATGTTAATAATTCGTAAAACCAATATGCTTTTGCAAACAACTCCTCTAATTTTTAATCCGGGCTAAGTTAGGTTTCTCCTACCTAAAAAATTACAGTAATATCTCTATAGTAATAAGAAACTGCAAGACTGTCGCGAGACTCTTGCGCAAGACCAAAACCATGACCGAGACTGAGTTTGCAAGACGAAGACTCGTTTTGTCTCGCATTTGGGCAACACTAGACATAGCTAAGCAATTATTTTGTCTTTTTTGGCTTATGCCGCCGTAGTTATTGTAGTTATAAACTTCTTCGTTGGATCCAGAAAATCTCCAGGGTCTCCTGTTTATATTTAACACTTTAAAATTGAAAAAAATATATACAGTTATGAAAATATAATCTCGATTTAAAAAAAAAAAAAAACTTTTTGCGCTAGTGATATTGTTCTAGTAGTGGACAAGGGGTCGATACTAGTAATGCACATAACTCAGAAACAAAATCTTTATTTAATTATTAAGATAACGATAAAGATAAGATAAAAGATAAAATAAATGTTCTAGTTACTCTTAGTAGGAAGCTATGAAACACACTGATCTCAATGAAAAATCCAGCTAGAGAAGAAAATCCAGCTAGACAACCCCATATGGGAGGACAGAACGAACACTTGATCCTCTGCAAGCCCTCTAAGGAACTGATGGGGCTCAAGCCGTACTCAGAAATCCAGTTTACTCTTAGCACAAAGAACGGTCCCGACACCTTCTTAAAGGTGAGAGCAGGGAGGCTTGTTTTCCTCTAAATACTCCCTTCACAGACTAATTCAATATATTCTAGAACTTGCCTAATCCGGCAAATTCGGTTCGCTGCCCAACTTGGAGGACTCTAATCGAACATCCGACAAGAAGTTCCAAATGTGAGGGAGGGAAAACAAATTACTTATACAAATTTAAAGTGGTATTGAATGAAATACAACCAGTAAATCTAAACAGATTTTTGATAGTTTATTGAATGATAATACAATCTGCCTCAAGAAGAGCAACAAGTATTAGGGCTACAAGAGTTCATTCATACAATATATAAAAAAAAAAAACAAAAAAACTAAAAAAAAAATGCAAATAATAAAAAACAATAATAAATAAATAAAAGTTATCTTTTAAAACACATTCATACATATTATATACAATATCAACATTCGCCCGGGGAATTCAAGCCAAGCTTTGTCCTCCACATGTTGGAAACAAAACAAAACTCAGAAGTCATTTTTCCTGGTTTTCCATGTGGGTCACCACCTTCCTTAAAATCCTTATGAATGATTTTATTTGTGATCAAATACGGAGCATTGAGAATTTGACGAAGGATTTTTGATTATAAAGATTGAACACGAGAGTAAACCGATGATTTGGTGGACCCCAAAGCACAACTCCGTATGTCCATATAGGAACTTGCGGAGTTTCGACAGAAGTCCTCGGTCCCAGACTCAATTAAAATCCGTAAAATCCGAAAAAAGGAATAATATTTATAGATACCGAATTTTTATTAAATTACTAAACACAAAACTTGCTAGAGTAAAGTTTCTTATTATTGCTATGCATTCAGCAGTTAAATAACAAAAGTAGCGATGCTTTCATATCATTTATTTGTCAACTTGTGCGCAAGTATTATTAATAGCTAGTTTATCATCATTATTATTATTATTATCATATCTTTTAATTTATTCCAAATCATCAATTCGGCTTCAGAAAGCATCTGTTCAACAATGTCATCGAATGGTAGATTATATTTCTAATTCTTTAGAATCTAAAAATTATTGCCCTGGAGTTTTTCTTGACATTAGTCAAGCCTTTGATAAAGTTTGGCATAAAGGATTGCATTCCAAACTTAAAATTTTACTTCCTCTGACCTACTATCTAATATTACTTTCATATCTAACGGATAGACATTTTGTAGTAAGAGTAGGGACAGAAGATTCTGACATTAAACCTATTAAAGCAGGAGTACCTCAGGGTACTGTCCTTGGATCAATATTGTTTAATATATATAGATTTGACCTACCGGAACACAATGACACAATACTGGCTACTTTTGCAGACGATACCGCAATCCTAAGCTCAGATAAAAACTCTGTTCGAGCATCTACCACTCTTCAAAATCATCTGAACGATATTGCAGATTGGGCCAAAAGGTGGAAAATTAAGATAAATTAAAAAAAAAGCGTGAATGTAGTATTCAATCTTAACCATAAACCTTCCTTTGAAATATATTTTAATAGCATTAAAATTCCAATATCAGATGCAATTAGGTATTTAGGTTTTTCTTGGCCAAAATACTTACTTGGAGGACTCACATCAGATAAAAATGAATAGATATAAACACGTCTGTTATAATAAATAAAATATCTAGACAGAAATTTGTTGTCTAATAGTTACAGTTTAAGGTAGCGCCAAGCTCATTAAGTAAAAAAAATAAATAAATAAACGCAGAGCCGATATGAAAACTAATAATATCACTACTAAATCTAAGGTTGTTTTACATCCTGACATTTCTGAGATTCGTTGCATCTTCATTTTCTTATTTTCCACACATCTTTAGCGGCTCCTGCTGAATTATGGTTACGTAGATTTGGTATTTGACCTCGGTTCTTAGGAAGTTACTTTTTGTTCCAACCCCTGAAGAAGTGAATAAAAACACTCTTCATTCTTGATGTCCTTACCTAGCCTTCCTCTGTCCACTACTTGAATACCAGATCAGGACCTATCGACCCTATATACTCCCTCACACAGAAGACCTTCCTCGAGCAAATCTTATTGGCGGACCCCTTTTGGAATTACCCATTTTTATTCACAGATCTGTCTCTCCACTTTATTTGAAAGGCATTTTATCTCATGTCTTCAAATCTTACGATCTATTGGAGTTCCTTTTTATTTATTTTATTTTTCAGCAAGATTTTATAGTACACATTCATATATTGTTACCGTGATAGTTAAATAATTTTGCCTTCATATCAAAATGAAACGTAAGAATTTAAACAAGCGACTTATATTATACTCACTTTTTTCAAATCAAAATTGAAAATCAGACAAAAACTAAATACATACACGCACCTACCCAAACACATATGGCTCACAGATTTTCGGTTCGACAAAAAAGGACGATTTTTAAAAACAACAATGATTCCAATCCAAAATTTAAAAACTTATTAGTTTAGTAAACTGTTTGTAATTTGTTAATAAACTTATAGTAATAATAAGCTGTTATTACAGCACCTCACTGATATGAAGAAATAGAAATAGAAAAACTTTATTCTAGGAAGAGGTCTCTTTAGAATAACAAGAGGTTACAAAACAAAATAAATAATTCTGGCCAGAAGGAATACATTAAACAAAAACATTTAAATTAAATAAATCAAAAAAACCTGATGTACACTAATAAAATATACAAAACAAAATATTTAGAACTATATATGATACATATAAGAAATGAAACAAAATATTCGCTGCTTAGCTAAAAAAATAAAGTAAAAAAAAAGAGAATAGGAAGAAAAGCAATAATAAATAAAAAATAGATAAAATAAAGACCCGGTCATAGAAATTTCATTACCTATTTCTATTAATTATTATGTTGATTCCATTTAATGTTTTTCTTTACTTATTAAGGATACAAGAAAACTTCAACAATGTTTCTCAGTTCAGTTTTAAATAATGGCAGGAAGAAAGCACAATACAGCGAAAAAAAGAAACTAGGAGAAAAATCAACGAACAATTTGACCGCTTAATGCTGCGATTATTATTTTTAGAATACCGTTTCATAACTGGCAAAGAAATATCCGGAGTAGCATCTTGCAATAGCTATCTGGTAAGTAGAATGAAATTTAATAAAAAATTTACTGGTTAATGCAGTTTCTTTAGGTTTTCCTCCTTAATTAATTATTAAGGGTAACCACTTTATAGAGGCTGGGTGTGCCACAGGAGAGTCTCCTGATCCCAGAGTCGCTCACGGCTGATGAAACAGAATAAATAATTTTTCTACCAAGAGCCGGGATCTGGACCCGAGACCTTGATCATTAGAAAACCAGTGTCCTTCCACTGAGCAATCCCACTCCCCAAAAAATATTTATTCAAGTTAATAAGGATCATAAAAATAAGAAAAAAGAAATCTTTTCATGTGGACTTACGACAACTAGCTATTGACCAACATATAGATACATGCGATGTTCCAAATTCACAACAGCTCATCTGGCTATTGTCAAATTAATGGCAGGTGTTTAAAAATACTGTTTCCAACTTACGTAGTTTTCCTTCAGGTCAGGATGGTCCTTCTCAAGTCCGTCATCGAGAATTGTGACAACGATACCTTTCCCGGTGATACCTTCCTTCCAAGCTCCTTCAACGCTCATGTCTAGTCCGGAACCTCGGTTCTGGAAATAAAACAATACATCAGTATATAATCAATATATCCACATTCATAGGTGATAAAGATACTACTAACAACAAGAAAGCATATAAGCATATTGAAACAAAAACATATTATTGTACGGTTGAAAAGTTGGAAGTGGGTTGCAGTCACAGTCAACATTTTAAAAAAAAATCTTTTGAGTGATAGCTAAAAAAAAAAAAATCATATATACTTTAAATTACAAACAAAACAAAAAAATGGTTTTAATTGCTACTGTCCACTTTTCCACTTTCCACTATTCCCCATACATCAATAAATTAAAATAACGCTTTTTATCAAAAAAAGTAAATAAGTAAAAATTAATTTACATATCAATAAAATGACAAATACTAATTAAAAGTTTCTGGATCAACCAAATTCCAAATTTCATCATCTATATTCAAGTTGATAATGAAGCCCCTTTCAAATAGGACTTGCGAAGTTCCATAAAGCCTCCTAGCATTAGAAGAACAGGACGAACTAAATAGATTTTTGAATTAAAAGGGAAATTGATTAGTGAATGCTGTAATGGGATTCACGGCGACGGAACTGGAATACAATCAGCTCTCTAGAAGGAGGTGGCCGAGTTTACAATGAGCAAATTCAACTTGATTATTCACAAACAGTTGACTAAAGAACGGGCTTTGTCATAGCACGATTACCGGGGGAAGATGTATTAAGAAAGAAAAAGCTTTGAAAAAGAAAATTTCAAACTTGATTTAGACCATACTTATTACCAGGCAATAGATATTTTTTTATGGACCAACATGCTCTGTTATTTTCAATTTTATTTCTACAAACTTTGACCAATAATAAGAGGAGAAAATTCCCATCTTTTTTTCTTTAACTTTCAATATCAATATGCATCTGTCGACGACTGTTGACAATCAGCAGATGGTCTGATTAAAGTAACGAAACTGACATGGGGAGGGATAACATCCAGCACTCACCTCTCCCTTGGCTTGAATCAATTACAATGTTTTGATAAGGAAGGAAGTCTCTCATTCAGTGCCTTTTTAGTCTCCTTTTTTTAGTACTGATGGGCATATCAGCTGAAGCCATTATCTCTGATGAGTATGTTAGCATGTCCGGGTAAATCATTGTGAAACCGTTTGTAAAGAGTTATGGGTTGGTCAACTGTAGGCAGGAGAATGTCGGTACGTAAGGTTTTGTTTGTCACGTACCAAGGTACTTTAGTTATAAGTCGTAATATTTTTGATTGAAAAGTTTGTTTAAGTGGGTCTTTTTAGCTACACCGTATATTTGTGAGGAGTAAGTCCATTGGTTCAAGTAAATATATCTCAAGAATTTCGTTTTAAGTATTTATGTACTATATAAGTGGAAAACAATTTACATGTATAAATATACAAGTATGGCTTAAAGAATATTTCAATAGTGTAAAAGTATGCCTGGAATCGAGTCGAACTGAGGTTGTTGGGAAAGGACAACGATTTTAATTGGATAAAAGGATGGAATTGTTAATCGTATCAACAGCATTGTAAAAGTCAAGAAATACAAGGACAGTTAGTTTTTTGTCATCTATAGAGAACTAAACGTCATTAATGATTTTAATTAGGACGCATTTTTTGGAGTAACCAGGTCGAAAACCGGATTGTTAAGGGTCAAGTTTATTGGTCTGTTCCATGAAATTGGAAACTTGGGATTGCGCTATTATTTCAAAGAGTTTTGAAAGGTTAGAAAGGATTGAGATTGAACGGAATTCTTCGGGAGAACGGTTAGAATTTTACAATTCTTATTTAAAAGACAGACAGTGGATTTTCCCCCAAAATCTAGGAAATACTGAATTTTGAAGGGAAGAATTATAGATGAAAATGAGAACGTAAAGGATTTCAAGTGATTGAAGGAAATCTGTTGAAAGCATCTTGATAATGTCATGATAATATCATATCAACAAATAAATGTGTTTCGGTGATGTGTCCTACAGGTTGAATTCTACAGGGGCATTCTAATATTTATTTAATTTATTTTATTTTAGATAAAATACCAATTTATTTTAATATACAAGGTATTCAATTATGCCAAACCTTTTTTTCTTTAAATTTCATAAACTCATTAAAAAAAAAAAACGATATATACCACAATATAGACACTACACATCCCTGAATAAATATAGACACAATTTTCGGATTTTTCTCTATTTTAGTATCAAAAAAAAGAAAAAAAATAGGATAAAGGTGAATTATCATCACTTATTAAAACATTCTGTAATTCCCTCCTATGCCTAGATATTCTCAAACCACGATTATTCAGTTATGTTAAAAATTATATTTTGTTTTTTCCGTCACCCTGTGCCATAAAAAAATATTTACAAATGTATACATCAATTAGGCTAGTATGATATAATATTTCATAAACATGTGCGTATATATCTTTAAATATTTTGTAAGTGATACCGGATGATTAGAGAAAACACAAAACATCGTTTTCAACCAACAATTAGTGTAACATGAGTTAATCGGCAACTGATTCCCATCGAACCGTAAAACGTTCTCTTTGATTTCAAGTTCGAAATAAAATAATTGGACCAATGAAACAGAGATCCAATCATAACAGTTCGAAACATTATCAAGGAAAAGTGAGGTAAACTTTTTATATACTCGTATATCAAGAAAATATGGAGCAACCACTAAAAACTATTTTTCAACATTTATAGTAATTTATATATCATATTCTCATACTAACTTATTTTAATCCTAATAATTTCGTTTGTTTTATTTATTCATTATTTACATAGTTCTTTTTTGTTTTATTTAAGCATTTCCTTTTTTTTTTTTTTGTACTTTTTTTTAAATTAAATTTTCCTATTGTTAAAAAAACAAAGGAATAGTACTTAAGTTAATAATTTAATATTACTGTAGTGTGAAATGTTGTAAGCCAAAACATGACCGATTATTATGGACAAATTGCAAATTGTAAATATTAAATATCATTAAATAAACTTATTAATATTATGATTATATTATATTATTTTATTGTGGCCTATAAAAATGTATTTGCGCCTGTCAACTTATTGTTAACAATCGGCAAATGTGTTGGCGATACAGGAAATACTGACATGACAGGCATGGGGAAGGAAAGTACTCCGCAATACCTCTTCCCTAACTTTTTTCAATTACTTATGTTGTTTAAAGAAGGATATCTCTTACTCAACGCCTTTTTAGTCTCCTCCACATGTTCTGAGGTATGTCAGCTGTGGCCATATCTCTTATGTCCATTTAAATTAGTATACAATCAATTAAAAAACACAAATAAAATTAGTGATAAAGGATCGTTATATGTTGGCCAACTGTTGAAAGGCGGAGGTCAGTATGTAGAGTTTTGTTGGTCACGTACCAAGGAGCTTTTGTTACGAGTCGCAATAATTTTGATTGGAAGGTTTGAAGTTTTTGTAGATAATTCTTTTTAGTGATACCGTATATTTGTGAGGAGTACGTTCATATGGATTTAAGTAAGTATGTATATTTATTCAGTTTCTGTCTCAGTTTCAGTATTGAAAATTTAGCAAAAAGAGTGTAAAGTATTTTGAGTCGTTTGTTAATTGTCTTACGTTTCATTTTAACATGCGAGCCCCATGTCAGCCTTCAGTCGAAGGGGAGTCAAAGGTAAATTACCGTGTTCGTTTGAGGATTATTATTAATACTGAAGAACAAAACTAAAATGTTTGAAAAGCTTTTATTCCATCCTTCGATTTTAATCTCTACATACACGTTTCCTGGAAATTTCAACAGGTTGACTGCACGAATCAACAAGGATACAATAGATTTTTCATGCAGAAAACTGGAAAGAAATGGTTTAAGATTAGCAGAGATGTAGAAGGCTGGTTAAGGCGGCAAAAGATTTACAAGTTCTATTATAACAAAAAAAAATTAACAATAAACGGAACAAGTATTTAGATTTTAAGGACCAATTTGGCAAGGATTTTTAAAAACAATGTTTAATTCATAAAATGATAGTAGATAAAATAACGCATTTAAAGGTACGTTGGCAATAAAATACATTATATGTAATAAAATTGGTTCTTTTAAGTTTAGAATAATATAAATAAATCAGATAAATGTTTAAACAATTGACCAACGGTTTTCTGAGAAAGTACCTAAGCAAAACAGACGATGCTTATTGTTTTTTCAACGCTTTTCTACTCGGAATTGTTTCTCTTATCGGTGTTATTTTAGAAACGACACCTCTTGGCAAGCTGTCACAAGTCCCCTAAGCAGACAACCTTCTTGTTATTGGCATCGTTTGCGATAAATTGGAAATATTTCGTCCTAATGGACAGCTTAAAGATCTGAGGCCTGTCCTTTGTGTATTCGCTACGTGTTGAGTTAAGTAGTGCTCTCATTCTATTAATGCTATCCCACTAAATGCCAAGCTCATCAACACAAAAGATAAGCCCCCCTCCCCTCCTTTATTTCCCGTTTTCCGACCCCTTTTCACATTTTCACTAAAGGGCTCCCTTTCCCGGTCGGGTATGACTTTTTAACAACCTTTCAGACGGCGTAAAAAGGCTTGTTATTATTCTTCACGGGCTGATGGAACACTTACTCCTCTAATAAGACCCTTTTCAATTAACCCTTCCGAAGCTTTTAGTAGAATTTAAGTAGAAGGAAACGCGATTGGTCAGCACAACTCCTCCTTCCTCACTGCGAAATATCATTCCGAAGAGAATCGATAAATCTAATTTATTGAAGGTAAGGAAGAAGAGGGTCTTCCCCCATTCTCGCCGAAACGAAAAGGAATATTTTCCCTCAGAAGAAAAGACTTGGCAACACACGCTTAACCTTTTCGATTGAAGTTCTCTGTAGGCAACCATGAAGGTTTTTGAAAATAAAATATGATAATAACAAGGGTTCGATAGTCAATGAATATGTAGATACACAAACAAAATGCAGGCGTTGAAACTTTGATAGAACTGTTTTAAAAAGTTCCATTTTAACAGTTTCTGCGAAACGTATTAGAAAAAAA